TTCTTAGGGGATTCCTGGTGGATAAATACATTGGTAATTTTGAATTAGCAAAATTTCTTTCCGTAGGCGGCGATTCATTTTCTGTCTCCATGGTCTTTCCATTGTAGTGTGTGGTTAAACTTCTGGATTTTTGAACATCTGATAAACTAGCTTGTCAATTAAGTCTTAATTTGCATTTATCTTATTATATGAATGATAGTAAGCATCTTTTTGATATATAGTTTTATATCCTTTACCTATTTTTCTTTTGGTTTGACAGGTTTTTTTCTTATTTATAGGACATAAAAGTATTCAGACTCTGCTTTAGAAAACACTACTTTAAAGCTTCCTATCTTCTCAATTTGTCTTCCAGAATTTCCTTGTTAATTCCAATAAGTCTCTTCATTAATTCCTTTAGTAAAGCTCAACAAACACTAAGTATATTTAATATACTATTTACATAAGATAGTGTAAACATTAGGCAATATTTAGTTAGCATATCATCATGCTTCTACTCAATAAAATTTTTTTCATTCAACATTTACTGAGCGACTCCTACTTAGCAGTGACCTCACTCTTCTGTGTCCTATGGGGTGTCCAGATGGCTAAGCCATGGCAGTTTGGTTGTGCAAATATCTGGGACATGTGTAACTTTCTTTTTTCAGTTTGTCGGTAATCCCTTTGTCTTTGCTTATGTTTAGTTTTTTTGTTTGTTTCACCATTTGTTTGTTTCTACATTTTAATAGTAAAATTTACCCATCATTTCTATTATGGCTTCCATATTGAATCATAATTAGAGGGCCTTTTTCTATTTCTAGGTTATGAAAGAATTGACCCATGTGTTTTTCTTTCATAGTCATTTTATTGTTGAGACAGGGTTTCTCTCTGTTGCCCAGACTGGAGTGCAGTGGCACCGTCTTGGCTCACTGCAGCCTCTACCTCTCGGCTTCAAGCAATTCTCCTGCCTCAGCTTGCTGAGTAGCTAGGACTACAGGCATGCACCAACATGCCTGGCTAAATTTTGGATTTTTAGTAGGGACAGGGTTTTACCATGTTGGCCAGGCTGGTCTCGAACTCCTGACCTCAAGTGATCCCCCTGCCTCAGCCTCCAAAAGTGCTGGGATTAAAGGTGTGAGCCATCGTGTCCAGCCTTTCATAGTCATTTTTATAAACATTTAATTCTTTGATCTGGCCAGGTGTGGTGGCTCACACCTGTCTGTAATCCCAACTCTTTGGGAGGCTGAGATGAGAGGATAGCTGAAGTCCAGGAAGAAGTTGACTGGATGTGGTGGCGTGCATATGTGGTCCCAGATACTCCGGAGGCCGAGGTGGGAGGATAACTTGAACCTGGGGGTGGGTCAAACCTGCAGTGATCTGTGATTGCACCATTGCAGCAATAGAGTGAGACTGCGGAATGGAGTGAGCCTGTCTCAAATAAATAAATTAATTAAATAACCCTTTTTACCCATTTGGAGTTTAATCCTAATGTATAGGGTGAGTTAAAATCCTAGCATTCTTAGTGGTTGCCTAGTTGCCTGTATCATCTTCACAAAAATGACATATGGTGCAAATGGACATGAAAAATAGATTTGGTATTAGAGAAAAATAGTCATAAAAATAGTGGGTGGGGGCATATGGGTGTGAAAGGAGGCACAGCTCACCCTGTCATAGCTTAGGGACATGATCTTTTTGAGCACTGATTTGAATAGAAGTCTCAGGTTTGTTGTTTGGCCAGGTGGAAGGATCCTCCTCTTTCTGCCTCTGCCGTCTCACACTCCCTGTCCTTGCTTCTCATCTCTAGCTCAAATGACCCTAAGCAAAGGCAGTGGGGAGCACAGGCTAGGGAGCTGTGTCTAGCCATGAGCCAGGAGGAATAAGTGGTAGTAACAGATCTGATAGCTTAATATGTCACATCAAAGGATGTCCCCAGGTTTATGTAGTCATACCCAGTATATGCACTGCACAGCCGTGCAGCTAAAACAAGCATAAATTTTACTTCAAAAAGCTTCAAAAAGGAATGTAGGTCTTACCGAAGTATCTCAGAGGGAATTACACCTTCCAACACAGCAAAACCTGCGAAAATGTTCTTTAGGCATTCCTTTTCCCATGTTCCTGGCATCATCATGGCCACTCCCTGCAAATATCTTTCATATTTCTCTCAGGCTCGAGTCTACCTCTCTTTTACCCTCTCCTGTCCCCACCCTACCCCAGGTCTGTTCTGTTCTGAGAGGTGCTGCTTGCCTTTTCTTTTTTCTTTTTCTTTTTTTTGAGCTGGAGTCTCACTCTGTTGCCCAGGCTGGAGTGTAGGGTACAATCTCGGCTCACTGCAGCCTCCACTTCCCAGATTCCAGCAATTCTCCTGCCTCAGCCTCCTGGGTAGCTGGGATTGCAGGCACGAGTCACCATGCCTGGTTAATTTTTTTGTTTTTAGTAGAGATAGGGTTTCACCATGTTGGGCAGGCTGGTCTTGAACTCCTGACCTCAGGTGATTTGCCCACTTTGGCCTCCCAAAGTGCTAGGATTTCAGGCGTGAGCCACCATGCCTGGCCTGCTGCTTGCTTTTTCTTTGAAGGTCAGCTGTATCCCTTTCGGTATTCAAACATAGATTCCTTAGAAGGCAGGGCAGAGAGCAAGGTGGAGTACTGTCACACTTTGATATTTTAGCCCTATCACGTTACAGAATGATGTACTCCTCTGTGCAAAGGGAGTGTATGAATGAGCCCCTCATCGCCTTCAGGGAAGAACAGCTTTTGAAACGTGCTTTCTTCCAGCAGATGGCGGCCTTCTCCACCAATGATTTGGAACACAGATGGGTCATCCCATCCCTGTGTTAGCTGCAGAAGGCAATGTGAGCCCCGGTTTGTGTGCTGCAGAACAAATACAAACATTGAAAGGGAGTAATACAACTTTCATGTTCTGATGTTGTTGATCTTGTTGCTCAAAATCTTTCAGTGGCTTCTTCCTGTTGCACTTAGAATAAAAGCAGAACTCCTGCAGGGCTCACAGGGATCGGCCTGACCACAAATCCTGCTGTGCTCGGCCCTGTTGGCTTCCCTCTGGCCACCCTGACCCGTTGTCGTGCTGTGCCTGTCTCTTGGTTCCACCGCAGGGCCTTGACGCTTGCTGTTTCCTCTGTCTGCAATGCTCTCCCTCATTTCCCCTTCTCCCCACCAGACCATCGCATATGCTGCACCTGCTTGTCTTTCCACGGCTCAAGTGTCATTTCCTCCGAAAGGCTCTTCCCTGAATTCCCTCCCTAAGGTAGGCACCTCCTCCTTCTGCCTTACCAGCCACATCACACTCATTTATTTCCTTCCCAGCACTTTCCACTATCTGAAGTTATTTACTTGCTTGTTGTCTGTCTTTCCACCCGAAATATAAGCTGCATGACTTTGGACGGGGATTTAACTTTCTTGATCCTTCTCTATTCCAAAGCTTAAAATAAATTGGTAAAGTCAGCATAAAAGTCATTCTTGAACACTTCCTAGATTCACTCAAGAGTTATTGAGCTCATATTAATAGTAGCTTATTTTCATTGAATGTTTGAAATATTTAATGTAATCTCATTTTATTGATTTATTTTGAGATGGAGTCTCGCTCTGTTGCCCAGGCTGGAATGAAATGGTGTGATCTCAGCCCACTGAACCTCCGCCTCCTGGGTTCAAGCGATTCTCCTGCCTCAGCCTCCCAAGTAGCTGAGATTACAGGTGTCTGCCAATACGCCCAGCTAAATTTTTGTATTTTTAGTAGAAATGGCCTTGGCCGGGCTGTTCTTGAACTCCTGACCTCAGGTGATCCACCCACCTCCATCTCCCAAAGTGCTGGGATTACATACCTGAGCCAACACACCCAGACATAATCTCATTTTATTCTTAAGACAAACTTTTAAAGTAAGTACTATTTGTGTCCCATTTTACAGATGAGAATTATGAGACTTGGTATGTTGTCTCCAGGCAAATGGTGAAGGACCAGCATTCAAAGCCATATCATGGGCCAGGCATAGTGGCTCACACCTGTAATTCCAGCACTTGGGAGGTTGAGGCGGGGAGATTACCTGAGGTCAGGAGTTCGAGACCAGTCTATGCAACATGCCAAAACTCCGCCTATACTAAAAATACAAAAGTTAGCCGGGCGTGGTGGCAGGTGCCTATAATCCTTACTATTTAGGAGGCTGAGGCAGAACCTGGGAGGCGGAGGTTGCAATGAGCTGAGATCTCACCACTGTACTCCAGCCTGGGAGACAGAGTGAGACTCTGTCTCAAAAAAAAAAAAAAAAAAAAAAAAAAAAAAAAAAAAAAAAGGCCATATAATGCCTTCTGATCAGTGGCACATGAAATAGAAAGACAAAAGCCATATCAGTTCATCCTTAGCCTGTGAACTACCGTAGTGACTAGATAGGTCAGTCAGGCCCCGTAAATGGGAGGAAATAAACACTGCTGCTATTTTCCATGGAAGAGTGGGCTGCGAAACATTTTGGGGACAGAGAGTGATACTGGAATTTGCACTGCAGGAAAATCAGCCAGTGAGGATGGATTGGATGTGTCAACTTCTCCTTACTGCTTCCAAAGAAATTTCAGTGTTTGAACACTGCTGTGCCCATGACTCCAGCTGCATACTGGGGATTTCAACTGGAGCATACATTTAGTAGAAGAGAAAACTTGATTCCGTTGTGAAGAGCACTGGATTAGGAGTCAGGAAATGGGATTTACTTTTCGTTTTGTCGTAGCTGTCTATCTGTTTCTTTTCTAGTGAAATGAGGTAGTTGGACTGGCCAATCACTATGAACAAATGTTGAGAGTCTATTTTAATACAACTGCTTAATTTGTTATAACAAGATATTGCCAAAGTGCAATTACTATATATTCTTTTTTTTTGAGATGGAGTTTCGCTCTTGTTGCCCAGGCTGGAGTGCAATGGTGCAATCTCAGCTTACGGCAACTTCTGCCTCCTGGGTGTCCGACCTACCCTCTGCGGGAAGACTGAGCTCGTTCGGAAAAAACCGGACCGCAGGCTAGAGGAAATTCCTTAAGTTCAGGCTTTATTGAGAGGAAAGAGCCTCCGGGCAGGCCAGCCGGGACGAAAAGGAAAAATGGCCGCGCCGCTCAAAGGGGCAGGGTTGTTTTATAGGGGGCTGAAGGGCTGGGGGTGGGGAAGCCAAAAGCCGAGGTGGTGGGCAACTGTTGGTCAGTTTGAACTGCTGGGCGGGAAGCTGGGCGGCGGGAAGCTGGGCGGCGGGAGGGCTATGGCCGGTATGTAAAGTGAGAGATAAGGGAGCCTCTTTGTGGGGGAGGGAAAGAGAGAGAGAGAGAGCTTTTGCGGTAGGGGCAGAGTTTTCCAAACATTCCCGACTCCTTAAAGAAAAGAAAAAGAGGGGGTCAGGGGCGTCGGTTGTCTCTCTAGCTACTTCCTGCTGACAAGGGTCGATGGGGGTTCTGAAGAGGTCTCTTTTCTTAACGAGCCTGGATGTTCGGGGAGAGGTCTGTTTCTTGCACTCGTTCAGGGTAGGGTTGGAGCAGCATCTGGTGGATGGTGACTCGAGTCAGTTCTTGAAAGCGCCGCTATAGGAACTGTAGAAAGCAAGGAGCAATAAGTAAGATTAGGCAAACAGCTACTAGGGGCCCAAGCAATGGGGACAAGAGGGTATACATAGAGGAAGACCACCACGCCGTGGCTTCAGCCGAGAACTTCTGACTCTGCAGGTTAGTTTTGAGTTTCTGGAGGCTCTCGATTCGGGTTTCTACTAGGCCGGATTCATTGATGTAGTAACAGCACTCTTCCTGTAGGAAGATACAGGTCCCTCCTCGTTCAGCAGTGAGCAGGTCCAGGGCTCTTCGGTTCTGCAAGGCAACTTGGGCAACTGAGGTGATCTGTCGTTGGAGTGATGCTAAAGACTCAGTAGAGTCATCAATAGCCGCTTGGAGTTGTGAGGTCAGTCGGGCTATGGCCAGGTGAGAGTGGACTAGTGCCCCTCCTCCTAATCCTGAGTAAAGTAGGGGAGGTAGCTGTCTAGAGGAGTAGTCTCTGGCGGTGGGGGAGTTGAAAGCAGGAAGGGGCAACCATACAGCAGCTCAAATGGGCTAAGCTGTGATGGGCCCCGGGGGCTTGCTCTTACTCTGGTGAGGGCGATAGGAAGTAAGGTTACCCAGGATTGGCGGAGCTCAAGCATGAGCTTGGTCAGATGCTCCTTTATTAGGCCATTGGCCCGTTCTACCTTACCAGAGGACTGGGGATGGTAGGCGGCATGTAGCTTCTACTGAATTCCTAGAGAGGTAGAAACGGCATTAGTGACTTTGGAGATAAAGGCTAGGCCGTTGTCTGACTGTATGGTAGCTGGGAGTCCAAAGCGTGGGATGATGTCTTGAATGAGATGAGTGGCTACTGTCCCGGCAGACTCAGAGGCTTCAATCCAGCCTGAAAAGGTGTCAACAATGGTTAGCAGATACCGGTACTGTTTGTGCTTTGGCATATGGGTGAAATCAATTTGCCAGTCTTGGCCAGGTAGGAACCTGCGTAGCTGATGAAGCTGGCGCCGGGGATGACAGGAACCCTGGGAATTAGTTTTTGCGCAGACAGTACATGAGGACTGGACTTCCTGTATGGTACTGAGGAGGCGGTGGGGGTGAAAAAGTGGGTTGAGGAATCGGTATAAGGCTTTAGGCCCAATGTGGAGTGAATTATGGATGTCTTGGATTATCTGGTACCTTTGCTTTTCAGGGAGGATGAGGAGGTTATGCTTGAAGGCCCAGTCATCCTTGAACCGTACCCCGGGGGTAGACTGGAGGGTCTGGAGTTCTGAGGCAGAGTATTGAGGGCTAGGAGAAAAAGGCTGTGTGGGCTGGCGGTGGGGAAGGTTATGACGGCCTTCAGCTTTGAAAGGATGTCTCGCCCCAGAAAGGGAACTGGGCAGGTGGGGATTACTAAAAAGGAGTGGGTGAAGGGAGTGGAGTTATATGAGCACATGAGTGGTGGGGTTTGATAGGGGATACTCGGGGTCCCATCGATTCCCATGACTAAGACCTGGGAAGGGGTGAGATGGCCAGAATAAGAAGGAAGTGCGGAGTAGGTAGCCCCCATGTCTTGTGACCCTAGGCTCGGCGAGGGTAACCGGAGTCGGAAAGCCAGGGCCCCGCTAGTCATCTAGCAGCCCTAGTAGACTGGGGAACGGAGCTCCCTCGGAGGTCGGCTCCTGGCAAGCAGGCTCCTCCCTACTGAGGGTGACCGCCGGCTGCGTAACGCCAGTGTGTCTGTTTTGAGGAACCGGCACCCTGGGGAAGCTGGGGCAGTCTGACTTCCAGTGTCCCGGGAGCCGACAGACAGGGCAAGGCTTAGTTGGTGGCCATGGTTGTGGACAGGCTCGGGACCAGTGTCCTTCCTTTCCACATTTGAAACATGCCCCTGGAGGGGCATGGGTTTCGGCCTTGGGCTTCTGGTTCCCTGCCGGCCTTAGAGCCACCACTAGGGCTTGGGTCTGGAGGGCAGCCTTCTGCTTCATGCGAGTTTGGCGGGCAGCCTCAGCCGCATCTTCCCTGGCATTGAATACTTTAAAGGCCATTTTTACCAGGTCTTGGATGGGAGTCTCTGGCCCCTCTTCTGCTTTCTTTAGTTTCTTTCTTATGTCGGGTGCTGATTGGGAGATAAAATGGGAGGCTAATACAGTGGCCCCATTTTGGGAGGCTGGATCTAGTCGAGTGTACCGGACTAGGGCTTCTTATACTTGAGTGAGGTATTGGAATTCTTTAATATAGGTGGATGGGTCGGCTGAGAAGGATCCTAAACATTTCTCAATTTGGGACAGATCTTGGAGTGAGAAAGGAACATGGACCCTGATTAAACCTTCTGCGCCTGCTACTTCTCGGAGTGGGGCCAGGATAGCTGGCTGGTGAGAGCGGGTGTGGGCCGCCACCGGAGAGGCAAGAGGAAGTGTGGCCTCTGAGGGAGGGGGCTCGGAGGGAGTAGAGGGAGAGCGAGGCATGGCCTCTGAGGTAGGAGGTGCAGAGGGAGTGGGGGAAGGGCGTGCCGTTGATGGCGACTGGTTGCTGAGATTGGCAGGAGAGGACAGATGTTCAGGCAGATCCTCCGGTGAGGAGTAGGGAGGGGGAGAGGTAGTGGAGGAAGATTTACGGGGGGTTCGAGATAAGAGGATTTGGTAGGTGGAGCAGGAAGAACATAGGTCGGGGTGGGTACGGAGGTCCCAAAAAGCCTGGACGTAAGGAATTTCATTGTCCTTGCCCGCGCGGCGACAAAAATCGTCGAGATCTCGGAGGGTGTTGAAATCAAAAGTGCCAGTCGGGGGCCAATGTGACTGGTTACTGAGTTTGTATTGGGGCCAAGCCACCTGGGACAGGAAAATAAGCTTTTTCTTTCTGAGGGTTTGGGAATATCCCAATTTGGTAAAATTTCGCAGCAAGCACCCAAGGGGGGTGCTCAGAGGTATTTTGGACTCTGAATTTCCCATGGCAGGCGCAGCTACAGACTCTCCGGCGCGGATGGGCAGATGCAACGAAAAGGCGTCCCCGTTCGTTGCAAATTCCCCGGAGTACAATTAAGTACGGGAAAGGGCAGCGGTCAGAGGGGCGTCCCCCGTCTGGCGGCTGTCCCTCGGAAGGCTCCTGGAGCCGGAACGGAAGACTACCTTGGCTCGGCCAAGACTAGGCAAGGAGTCCGTGCGGAACGCCGGAGGGAGCAACTGCACCATGCCGTAGGAAGAGGAGACGGGAAGCGGGGGAAGGCAAAGCAAGAAAAACTTGGCTTACCTTAATCGGAAAGTGGAGGTGGCAGGGCCAGTGTTGGGTAGGTCGGGGAGGGGGGCCGTGGCCGGGCCAACGGCCTCAGCTCCCGTCCCGGGTTTCGGCACCATTTGTCCGACCTACCCTCTGCGGGAAGACTGAGCTCGTTCGGAAAAAACCGGACCGCAGGCTAGAGGAAATTCCTTAAGTTCAGGCTTTATTGAGAGGAAAGAGCCTCCGGGCAGGCCAGCCGGGACGAAAAGGAAAAATGGCCGCGCTGCTCAAAGGGGCAGGGTTGTTTTATAGGGGGCTGAAGGGCTGGGGGTGGGGAAGCCAAAAGCCGAGGTGGTGGGCAACTGTTGGTCAGTTTGAACTGCTGGGCGGGAAGCTGGGCGTCGGGAAGCTGGGCGGCGGGAGGGCTATGGCCGGTATGTAAAGTGAGAGATAAGGGAGCCTCTTTGTGGGGGAGGGAAAGAGAGAGAGAGAGAGCTTTTGCAGTAGGGGCAGAGTTTTCCAAACACTGGGTTCAAGCAATTTTCCTGTCTCAGCTTCCTGAGTAGCTAGGATTACAGGCATGCACCATGACATCCAGCTAATTTTGTATTTTTAGTAGAGACAGGGTTTATCAATGTTGGTCAGGCTGGTCTTGAACTCCTGACCTCAGGTGGTCCGCCCACCTTGGCCTCCTAAAGTGCTGAAATTACAGGAATGAGCCACCATGCCCGGCCCTATATATTCTTGAATATAAGGAATTTAAATGTTTTTGCTAATTTGAATACATAAACTTTTAAAAATAGAGCTAAAATAGACAAATGTTTATTTATAATTGTATTATAAAAATTTAAATTAAAAAAATAAAAGTAACATAGTAAAATAAATGGTATAATTTAGAAATATTTATTCCTATTGTCATATTTCATGGAAAACAATTTTATTAATTTTTTACATGCATTTTTGACATCACTAGTCATTTTTTGAGTAACACTTTTTGAGGGCACATTATTTTTATTTCTAAGTTATTTGAGATAGAAAACTTAAAAGATTTTTTTAATTATGGAAATTTCTTAACATACACAAAATAGTGTATGTTATAATAAACTCCTATGTACCCATTACCTAGTTTCAATAATTAACATTTTTTTGGACTCTTGTTTCATCTAGATGCCCCCAACCCTATTTTTGGGCATCCTATAGGACACATTTGTTTTAAGGAAACTGCCAAACACCATGTCATTTTACCTATAAATACCTCAGCATGCATCTCTAATTGCTAAGGATTTTTAAAAAGCCTACATAAAAGTATAATTATCATGTTATAATTACACAAATACCAAAATTTACAACCCCTCCCTCCCCTAGAGATGGAGTCTTCCTAGATTGCTCAGGCTGGTCTTGAACTCTTGGGCTCAAGCCATCCTCCCACCTCAGCCTCCGAAAGTGCTAGGATTACAGGCATAAGCCATCATGCCCAGCCACAATTCTTTAATGCCCACTAAATACATATTTCCCTAATTGTCTCAAAATGCATTTTTACAGTTGACTTGTTCAAATTAGGACTTAAGGGCCTCACATTATATTTGGGAGTTATGTCTTAAGGAAACCAAAATACTGACGATTGTTAAGTAAAAGGCAATGCAAATGCGGAGGAATGCTCTGCCTCAGGCTCCATTTGCCTGGTGGTGGGACATCAACCCTTCCTTACTGGAGACAGCGCTTGCCGCTGGGCGATGGGCAGGGAGAAGGCAGCCCCAGGCAACAGAGAAATCTGGGAACAGATTTTACTATCTTCCCTGCCTTTAAAAAGACCACACCTGCTTTTTCCTTTCTCTTGTCACTGTATAGCATTTATGGCTGTTTGTTAAAATACTATTTAAGCAAAGTCCCCAAGCCACTGCCTTGAGAGAGAAATACTTTTGAACTGAGACCTCTCCCGCTTGGTGGCCCATGTTCCTAAACTTCTGCTTGTTTTTCTTTTGTTAATTTAATCTTTTTTTTTTTTAAGAGAATGTCTCAACTAAGATCCTAAAAAGGGGAAGAAAAGAATTTGTTTTCTCCCCCATAGTCTCTTCGTCTCTATTATTCTTCATCAATAGACCTTGTCCTCTCTCCCTTTTTGAAGCATCATTTATTTGTCAGGGAAATTTGGTAAAATATCCCATATTCTGAATTTGATTCATTCTTTGTGATGTTTTTAAATTGTTTCTCTAGCTCCCCCACTTCTTACAAATCACAGTTATGGACTGAGAGGCTTGCTTTAACTCAGAATAAATTATTTTTGGCAACTCACTTCCTCTGGCATCACACTTGAGTAAGGCGCATGCCTCTGGCTCTCCCACTTGTGGGGATGTAAGATTGATGAGTGGGTTTAGGTGAGGTCAGCCTGATCCCTCAATGTTAGTTCCCCATCCGCCTTTAACCCAATTTTTTTTGAGGTGGAGTTTCATTCTCGTTTCCCAGGCTGAAGTGCAGTGGTGCGATCTCAGCTCACTGCAACCTCTGCCTCCCCGGTTCAAGCAATTCTCCTGCCTCAGCTTCACGAGTAGCTGGGATTACAGGAATGCACCACCACATCTGGCTAATTTTATATTTTTAGTAGAGACAGGGTTTCTCCATGTTGGTCAGGCTGGTCTCAAACTCCCAACCTCAGGTGGTCCACCCGTCTCAGCCTCGAAAGTGCTGGGATTACAGGTACGAGCCACCACGCCCAGCCCACCTAATGGTTTTAACAACCAGTCTTGTTCATTCCCTAGATTCCATTATTTTATTAGGAGTTAGACAGGGTTCCTTTGAACCTGTGTTTGATGCTATCATGGAAATTATCACAAGCCATCAGAACTCATTCATGTCATGTAAAACTAGGAACTATTAAAAAAAATTCACCCTGTAGGTGTACTTTTACCTTTACAATACAATCACTATGTTGTTTATTGTGTTTTGCGTTTATAGTTTGCTTTTAAAAATAAGGTTTAGGGCTGAGAGTGGTGGCTCATGCCTGTAATCCCAGCACCTTGGGAGGCGGAGGCCGGTGGATCACTTGAGGCCAGGAGTTCGAGACCAACCTGGCCAACATGGCAAAACCCAGTCTATACTAAAAATACAAAAAAATTAGCTGACATGCAAGTGCCTGTGATCCCAGCTACCCAGGAGGCTGAGAGAGAGAGGGAGTCTTGCTCTGTCACCCAGGCTGGCATGCAATGGCCCTATCTGGGCTCACTGCAACCTCTGCTTCCTGGTTCAAGTCATTCTCGTGCCTCAGCCTCCCAGGTAGCTGGGATTACAGGTGCCCACCACCACGCCTGGCTAATATTTGTATTTTTTTGTAGCGATGGGGCTTCACCATGTTGGCCAGGCTGGTTTCCAACTCCTGAGCTCAAGTGATCCGCCCGCCTCAGCCCCCCAAAGTGCTGGGATTACAGGCGTGAGCCACCGTGCCCGGCCCCAAAACATTTTCCTTGCTTAGTTCATTGTTGAGAAAATAAGGCAATTGAGAAAGTACCTTTTAAGATGGGTTCTTTTAAGAGCTTGCATATAACGTAAACTTCACTGAAGAATAATTTTGGGGGGGATAATCATGCCTTATACTTAGTAATTTATAGTACTTTACTGGAAACTTCCTTGTTTTTTTAAACTTGGTTTCATGCAACACATATCAGGAGTAAACTTTGATGAGGGAAAAAACTTAAAAAAGGATTCCATTCGGCTTTCCATCATCTTATAACTTAAGTTACTCCACGTATAACTCAGTAAGACCTCATTAGAGAGATTTTTTAAGAAAGATTTCAACATGTGTGGCAGCCTGAATTGCTGGGCGCCTCTAGGCCGAGCCCCGCCGCCTCCAGCCGCTGCCAACCTGCGCCCCCCGGTGGCATCGACGCCGGCCGCACGCGTTCCTTCGCCGTCCGGAGCGCCACCTGTCCGGAGCGGGGGAAGGAGACTGTGGAGCAGTTCCAGTCCCGCTTACGGACCTGCACAACTACCTCGTCCCCTGCAACACTGACCAGAAAGCTCAACAATGGCAGCATTCTCAACAGGGAAGCCCATCGCAGGCCGCGTTTCTGTGTCCGCAAGGTGGCGGTCAGCACGCCCGGGGCCATCGAGCCCGTCCTGTGTCACTGAGGACAGCGCTGTCCACCCAGACCCGCCGGGCGCAGCCGTGTCGGTGTAAACCCATACGGTCTGCGGCCTGGCTACAAATGTCTGTTGACATTTGCATGTGATTGACTAACCTATAAGAGAGAAAATAAAAACAAGAAAGAAATACATAGTGACGAAGCTCCTGCTCCACCCTCCTCCTAAAAGATTCTAATGTTAGGGACAGCTGGTGTCTTTCGGTGGTAGAATGCTCAGATACGACTGTGCTAGGCTTTATTATATATGCTTCCCTTGTTTCATGCTATTTTTCTTTCCCTTCCACTGAGACTATTTTTCTTTCTCCTTGAGTTTTTCATCTAAAAACAGACATATCCTATTGCAGCCTATGTAAGCAACTTCAAATCCTTTTAGAAATGAATGGAGGAGCGAAATACATCAACCAATGAAAATATATGTGAGCACGTTTACAAACTAGGTTTAGCATTTTACTAATAATTTTCATGGCTATGCATGGTGACTCGTGCCCAGCACTTTGGGAGGCCAAGGTAGGAGGATTGCTATAGCCCAGGAGTTGGAGACCAGCCTGGGCACCATAGTGAGACCCTGTCTACAAAAAATAAAATTAGCATGGCTTGGTGGTGAACACCTGTAGTCCCAGCTACTCGGGAGGTTAAGACAGAGGAATCACTTGAACTGGGAACGTGCAGGTTGCAATGAGCAACGATTGTGCCACTGCACTTTAGTCTGGGCTACAGAGAGACCCTACCCTGTCTTTAAAAAAATGCAAAAAAAAGGCCAGGCGCAGTGGCTCACACCTATAAGCCCAGCACTTTGGGAGGTCGAGGCGGGTGGATCACGAGGTGAAGAGATCGAGACCATCCTGGTCAACATGGTGAAACCCTGTCTCTACTAAAAATACAAAAATCAGCTGGGCATGGTGGTGCGCGCCTGTAGTCCCAGCTACTCAGGAGGCTGAGGCAGGAGAATTACTTGAACCCAGAAGGCAGAGGTTGCGGTGAGCCGAGATCGTGCCATTGCACTCCAGCCTGGGTAACAACAGCGAAACTCCATCTCAAAAAAAAAAAATGCAGTTGGAACCCTTAATAGTAAACACTTCCTTAACAATTAAACATTTTTTTTAATTCACAGAAATTGAAGCAGAATCTTAATTCTTAAATT